TAGACAGACCTGCGGAGATAATAACATGCACAAAAACAAGACAGAGCAAAACAAAGCAACAAAAGAAAACAGAACAACAATAACAAAAAGTCAATGACAAAAAAACAAACAGCAACAAAAAAGTAAGGCCTGTAGTTAGTTCAAGGACTGCTTGTTGGCCTTTAGGAATGTTTTCTAGTCCAGTCTGATGGGGTGCCAAGCCCTGACCCCAAAGTCTATTTTTGGTATACCCTGGGGACTTCGTTGCTCTGTTCCCCTTGCTGTTCTATTACACGCCCTTAGTGTTTTGCCTCAGTGTGGTGGGATCAGATCAGGCGCAATTCCCACACTGTGTCTCCAGTGTTGTCACCTGTAGGGCTATGGGTCAGTGAGGGACGTCGTGTCTCATAGTGGGGTCGGCCATATGGTCTTCTCTGTGGACTGGCTGCTCTGAGCGGGAATATCGTCCTCAAGGCTTGGTGGGCCACATATTCCAATTTTATAAATGTAGAAACAGAGGCCTAAGGAGGGAGAATCCTGCCAAAGAGCCCTGGTGGCATAGGGCATTAAGCATTGGGCTGCTAACCACAAGGTTAGCAGAGTTCGAAACCACCAGCAGCTGGGGGGTGAGAAAGATGAGGCTCTCTATTCCTGTAAAGAGTTACAGCCTCCGAAACCCACAGGGGCAGTTCTGCTCGACCCTGCAGGGTCTCTGTGCCCAGGATGGACTTGATGGCAGGGGGGAAAGACTGGCAATGTTCTGGCTGAGACTTGGTTCGCTGGCAGCCTGCTCCGGCTAACGCTCGGGGACCTCAGTGCTTGGTTGGGTATTCCCGACCAAATTGGGGTCTTTTTCATCCTCTCAAAAATGCCCGCTCTTTGGGGGCTTTTCACTACCACAGACTTTCCAACAGCTGAAGGTAAACCCTATGGCTTCCCTCAACCCTGCACCCGATTCTTCTTTGGATGAAAGTTAAGTCCCGAGCTACCACGAGGTGGCACCGTTGGTTAATTCTGTCTCTTGTGCCTCCAGCTGTCTCCAGTAGTGGTTCTGAACGTGGGGGGCGAGCTCTACACCACCACCGTGGGCACTCTGAGAAGACACCCTGACTCAAAGCTGGCAGAGATGTTCTCCAGCGCGGCCAAGGTCTGCATGGACTCGGAGGGCCGCTTCTTCATCGATCGCCCAGGCACCTACTTTGGCCCAATCCTCGACTTCCTGCGAAGCGGGCAGCTGCCAACTCAGAGCCTCCTGGAGGTGTACCGGGAAGCTCAGTTCTATGAAATCAAGCCTTTGGTCAAGCTTCTGGAGGATACGCCAAAGATCTTCGGCGAGCAGGTGGCTCGAAAGCAGTTTTTGCTGCGGGTTCCCAGCTACAGCGAGAACCTAGAGCTCCTGGTGCGCCTGGCCCGCGCGGAGGCCATGGCGGCCCGGCGCTCCAGCGTACTGGTGTGCGCCGTGCGCAGGGACGAGGATGCTGTCCACTGTGTGGACACCCTTCGCACCCTGGAGGCGAACAAGACGTCAGTGGTCAAGTTCGGGCCCTGGAAGGCGGCCCCGACCATCAGGGACCTCCTGGACTGCGTGAAGATGGACATTGAAGCTCAGGGGTACCAGGTAGCCTATGAGCCCTTTACCTGTCGGGGCAAGGCGGGCAATCACTTCTACACATTCTTCTTCTCCTGGTGGTAACCCCAGGAGTGAGGCTGGAGGTGCTGCCTGCTGTGGGCCCTGGTGGGGCATATGGAATTAAAAGTTACCATGAAAAGTCATCTTCCATTAATTATAGAAACCAACAGAGCATCCAGCTTGGTCTTCTAGGCTCCACGCCCCCAAATATTTATTTTCCTCTTGAAGTAGAGTTTCCACCAATGGAAACGGACCTATTGCCCTTGCCTAGTGTGGTGACGCTGTACCCTTTTCAAAGTGACAAGTCCCCTCCTTCTGAAGCCCAAAGCAAGGCAGAGACCAGTTAAAATGTTTCAACACTGCTCTGACAGAAGATGGGGAGGGGGTGGTGGTGACGACGGGGAAATAACACAAGGTACCACGAATCTGGATCACAGGTTCCCAAATTTATTTGGCCTACTACCCTCTTTTTAGAAGAAAAAAATTTGCTCCGTACCTCATGGCAATGAGACACTTTTGGGATAGGATAAAGCATAGGGACTGCTTTGACCGCTCCCCTGGGTTGTGAAACAGTGATGTCGTAGTGTGAACTAAGAAGGTAGTCTGACGAGCTTCAGGTTGTGGTCCAGTCCAGCTAGGAGCTGGTATGTTCTTCCCTGAGGAAGACACCCGGAGGTCAAGTTAGTACCTGTGGCAGATGCGGTCAAGGAGCCCTCTGCCAAAGGCTGGGCATGTTGGCTGTTACTTCTCTAAAGCAGTGGTTCTCAAAGTGTTGTCTGGCATCAGAAGCATTAGCAGTGTTCCCTGGCAAGATTTTGGAAATAAAAATCCTCAGATCCTACTTCAGACCACAGTTTTACCAAGCAGTCTGTTTTAGCAAGCCCTCTAAGGGACTCTGATGGACCCTAACGTTGAGGCCGATTCAGAGAATTTCCCTCAGCCAACAGGAGACTGACCTCTTGCCTCAGGAAGAAGCAACTCTGGTGCGTTTCCTCTGCCAGAAGTCTCACGAGTCAAATTGAAGTCCTTCTTCATCTGTGATTACATTCTTACTCATCAAAGTCCAGGTCTGAGATAAATGGCTCCTTCCCACCAAGGGTGGCTAACATCTCAGTGTGTCAACAGCCAAAGGGTTGCCTGGACACAGACTTTTAAGCAGGTTCCAGGAAAACAGGATGAGTTGGTTACTGTGCTGCCTACCCAGGTCTCCTTCGCTTTTCTCTCTAGGAAGTCCCTTAACCTCCCACTCAGGGAAGACTGGTGTGCCTGCAGGAACCTGGCTTGGGGCCCTCTTGGGATAACCACTGTCTCTATGCAGACCTTGAACAAACCATTACCTTTTCCCTCTTTACTACACCTGCTACTCCTGCCACATCTCTGTGACATGTTTCAGTCCAGGTCCCAAAGCCTGCCTCTCTTGGGGGCTTAGAACCTGATTCTCATATATACATATGAGTCTCTGGGTTACTATTGACCAAACTACCAACCCTGTAAAACCTATTAGGTGAAAAACTTGAACTACATATAATGGTTAATAATAAATAGATGCTACTTTATAACCGTGCATCAAAAGATTATTGTTATTATTATTGCATTAGTGGGTTAAAGATATTTTCATGTTTCTGGTAATGTTTCTTTAGTTTTCTTTATGCAAAGAAAGGTACACTATGTACTACAAACTAAGACAAACATTTGACTGACTGATGTCAGACACAAACCATAGCTAACTGTTCTAACTTACATATGCACTTCAAGACAGATTTAGGAATGGAACTCATTCATAATCTGGGCACTGCTTTGTGTGTGTATGTGTGTATTTGCTGAAGCACTGGAAGGTAAGTTGCAGACATGAAACATTATGACAAAGTATCTCCTATAAATAAGGACATTTTGCTTCACAATCACAATATTATCACTTCTAAAAAGTTAACACACCTGAAATATTAAATATAATATATCCACATCTCTAATACTATGTTTTCTTTGTATATAAAATACAAATACATCTTAAGGCTTTATTTTTAAGGCATTAGGATCTAATCAAGGTTCATACATTAGATTTGGTTTTTAGGTTTCTTCAGTGGTATCCACCTTTGCCATACATTGGAGTCAATCACTGTATGTGTCCGAGGATTCACCCCTAGAGATTCTAACTGTCTTGTCTTGCGGCTTAACTATTAGACTTTTAAAATCTCCCTCAGATATTTCTAAAGTTTATGAAAGTTTGGGAATAACAAGACTCTTTCAATGTAGAACTCTTTTTTCTTTCAACGTGGTCTCCTTTTTTCTTGCTGCCAATCCCAAATGAATATTGATGCATGGGTCTCCATCTATTTGACCTCTGAACTTTGACTCCTTCTCACCAGCAACGTCTTCTTCAGCCATCTCTGGGAGTCCTTGGGATTGGTGGTATATCCTCATACTCTGGCTCATTCTTTGTCCTGGCCTGTCTCTTGATCATTTGCTTTCAAGCTAATCAGCACTATTTGACCCGCCATTCAAATCATTGCATTTCCTGGACCATGATTTTCCCTGGGTCCATGTAGTCCCAGTAGCATAGTGTCAGCAGTTCAAAACCACCAGCTGCTCTACAGGTCCTGGTTGGAAGCAGATGTTGGAAAAAGAAAAGCAAACTGTTTCTACCTACCCAACTACATTAAAAGTGGTCGATAAACTGATTACGTATAATTAATAGTTTGGAAAACCATTTTACTTTCAGCAGCATTTCTTCAATAACATGTACTGCACTAACAGTTCTTAAACCTTCAAAAGTAAGCAGGTTGTACACATTTTCAAATCGGATCCCACATGCATCCAAGGGACTTCCTTTGCCAACAACTTTCCAAGCGCTCAATAAACACTGGTTAAATGCCAAAAAAAAAAAAAAGCTCTTAGCTGCTACTTGCAAGGTGGATGCGTTGAAGCTGCCTAGTAGTCTTGTGGGAGAAAGGCCTGGCAATCTGCTCCTGTAAAGATGAGACGGGCTAGGAGAGAACCCTCCCGGGCAGTTAGTTCTGCTCTGTCACATGGGGTTGCTAGGGCTCAGGCGTCAACTCAGTGGCACCCCACAGCAACAAGGTGGTCCTGTACAGAGACACGAGATTGATAGCTACTTCGATGTATCAATAAGCTCCCTCCTTGACTCATGGCAGGACGACCCCCATCCCTAGCTTCCCAGCCTGGCTATAAGAGGCTTTGCTGCTTGGTGTCAGCACTGCAATGTCCTCTCTCACATTGTCGCTGGCCTTGGCAGTGTGGCTCGCTGTGACTTGCTTGCCCATGGAACATTAGCAAGTAGGACATAAACAGAGGCCCTTATGCACTGGGGTTTACACTCTTGGAATGCTGCTACTGTCTCAAAAGAAACCTACGCTATCTCTCTGGGGAGGCTATGAGGAAGGGAACCCAGGTCATGAGGCCATCTTGGACCAGTAAGGTCTAATTGAATGACTAGAAGATGTAGCCAAATTAGTGACCCAGAACCACCCAGGTAAGACCAGTCTAAATCACACAATCATGAGTAAATTACAATGCTTTTAAGTATCTATGTTTGGGAGTGACTTGTTACACACTAATATATAATTGGTATACCCTCTCTTAAGGTATGGTACTTTCCAAAATGTTCCACTCAGCAGTGTCTGTTTATATCTTTGGGACCCTAATTATGACGTGGCCTCTCCTACATACAAGAATAGTTGCTTTAAAATTTTTCCATGCATGGTTGTGGCAGTCACAGAATCTCCTATCAACTTGAGTGGAGGGAGGGGTGGATCTAACCTATCAATCAGGTCATAGCCAATGATGCCTCTGTGTGGGCATGGCCTTCTCCTGAGCATTCTGGGAACTCCTGTCTTCCTCCCTGTAGGCGGGATATACACAGTTATTAAAAATAATTAATAACTATATTAAGAAACATCCCCTTTGGGCCACTTTAGAATATCAGAGACTTTTAAAATAAGATTTACCCTCCTACCTGAAACAAAGAAAAAACAATAAAACAAAACAGACTTGGACAAAGTGTATATAACAGTGGGGCTTAATACATTGCATGTTAGGCATATATTAGCAAACTCTGAAAGAAAAGGTAGGTGTACACCTTATGAATGCTCCAGGTAACTACTTAGATAAGATATTCAAGCTGTAGTACAAAGAGGGAAAACCCTCCTGAATTGAGGAGATGAAGGTAGAAATACAGGGAAAGCAAGGCAGCAAGAGCCTTCAAGGCAAAGTGTCGAAGAGGAGAAAGGCTCGTTGTAGAGACATGGGGTGTTAGGCTGGGTTGACTAGAGAAACAAATCCAGTGACACTCATTTGCGTATAAGAGAGAGCTTTAAATCAAGAAGCAATTATGTAATGAGCAAGTGCCCCAGCCCAGTCCAAAACAAGTCCGTAAGTCCAATATGAGTCCATAAGCCCCTCTTCTGATGCATGTAACCACATGCAATGATGCAGAATGCAGGAAGATCTCAGGCCAGTGGGTGTAGAGTCATGCATATCTAAGGTCAACGAAACATGTGGATCTAAGGCAGCTCCCAGAGTATGTAGCAAGCAGGAAGCTGAGAAGGGATAAAGAAAGAGAAAGTGGGTGTCCGGGTCCCCGCTTATAAGAAGGTCACACCCCCAAGGACCCAGCATCAGGTTTTACTCCACTCCTAGCCAGGAGCAGCTAGTTGGCACAGAGGTAAGTACCACACATGGTGTATATATACCCCTATTAAAAGACAGAGATTGTGATATTGTATTAAAAAGACAAGACTCAAATTTTATGCTGCATACAGGAAACTTGCTTTAAGTAGGCTCAAAATAGAAGGGTCGGAGAAAGGATACTATGCTAACATGAATGAAAAAAAGCTGGCGTTATTATATTCATATCAGACAAGGTATATTTCAAGAGCAAAGACCACCACTAGGAAAAATGAGAAAAACTTTCAATTGTCACGTGATTCTATTATCACTTGATATGATAACCCCAAATATTTACAGACCTAACCAACTCATCAAGGGAGCATCATAATCTTACATGGCAATGTACACAATAAAAGAGCTTCCAAGTACATGATACAAAAACAGATCAAGTAAGGAGCAATGGGCATGCTGTAATACCAGTATGCATGTGTAAATTAGGACACAGTAATTCAACTCCAAGAATTATATCCCAGGGTAATGGAAGATTATGTCAACAGTTTCTACAAGATTTTCAAAAAGTTTAAACTGGTAATCAGGAAAGATGTGTGTCAGGGTTGTATCCAATCACCATACTGATTCAATCTACTTGCTGAGAAAATAAACAGAGCAGTTGGATCTTAGGAAGCAGAATGCAGCATCAGGATTGGAGGAAGGCTATGAACAACTTCGATATGCAGATGACACAACCTTGCTTATTGAGAGCGAGGAGGACTGGAAGCACTTGCTGATGAAGATCAAGGATTTCAGCCTTCAGTGTGGATTATAACTCAATGTAAGAAAATCACGATCCTCCCAACGGAACCACTGGGCAACATCATGACCAATGGAGAAAAGATGGAAGTCGTCAAGGATTTCTAACTGCTTGGAGCCCCAACCAATGCTCAGGGAAGCAGCAGTCAGCAGCTCAAAAGAGGAAGTGCATTGGATAAATCTGCTGCCCAATCCCTGAATTCATCTTTGAGGTTTTTCCGTAAAAATGTCTTGATTCACTTCCGGCCTTCCTCTAGCTGCCATCTTGCGTCCCAGCGTGTGTGCGCCTAATCTCAGCGGTCTGCCAAAGACCCCCTGAGCGCCAGCCCTAGTCCCCCGTGCAGCCCCATTTCCGCTCCGACAAGACGAAAGAGAGGATCATGAATCAAGAGAAACTTGCCAAACTGCAGGCACAAGTGCGCATTGGTGGGAAAGGAACTGCCGGCAGAAAGAAGGTGGTTCACAGAACAGCCACAGCAGATGACAAAAAACCACAGTTCTCCTTAAAGAAGCTAGGGGTAAACAATATCTCTGGTATTGAAGAGGTGAATATGTTTACAAACCAGGGAACAGTGATCCACTTTAACAACCCCAAAGTCCCAGCATCACTGGCTGCGAACACCTTCACCATCACCGGCCATGCTGAGACACAGCAGCTGACAGAGATGCTCCCCAGCATCTTGAACCAGCTGGGCGCAGACAGCCTGAGTACCTTAAGGAGACTGGCCGAAGCACTGCCAAAACGATCTGTGGATGGACAGGCCCCACTTGCCACAGGAGAGGATGAGGAGGATGAGGTTCCAGATCGTGTGGAGAACTTGCATGAGGCATCCAGAATGAGGCTCACTGATTTGAGTCGGCTTCTGGGGAAGATGAACTTGAGGAAGTGACTTGGGGCTGCTATTTTATACGATGACTGCGTTTTAAATGTGTTTTGTGTATGGATCTGATAAAATCTACATCTCTAATATTTTTAAGCCCAAGCCTTTCAGACTTTGCAGCTCTTTTACGTTTTTGCTTACACACGATTCATTCTCTGCAGCCAGATACGCTGAAGAAGCCTGGGAATAAAATTTGAAACAGGTTAATAAAGTCTTTGCCTAGTTAAAAAAAAAAATTCTTGATTCA